GTCTCACACAGGGCTCAACCAGTTCCTCTGGAGGGCCAGCAACAGGGCAGAGAGGCCGAGGCCTTCCCCTGAGAAGAACCTCAGAAGAGCCCTGCTGGGTCAGACCAGTGAGGGTCCATCCAGTCCAGCCTCCTGTCTCACATGGTGGCCTCAACCAGGGGAAGGCCAAGGCCTCTCTGCCAAGGCCTTCCCCTGAGAAGAACCTCAGAAGAGCCCTGCTGGATCAGGCCACTGAAGGTCCATCCAGACCAGCATCCTGTCTGACACAGGGGCTAGCCAGTTCCTCTGGAGGGCCAGCAACGGGGCAGAGAGGCCGAGGCCTTCCCCTGATGTTGCCTCCTGGCTCTGGGATTCAGTAGTTTAGTGCCTCTGAATGTGGAGGTTCCCCTCCGCCACCACGACTAGTAGGGCATTGACAGACTTTTATCCTCCATGGATCTATCGAATCCCCTTTTAAAGCTATCTACTACATCCTCTGGCCACGAATCCCATTTTAACCACTCCCACGGCTGGTCTTTCGGAGCTCCTTGCTCAAGACACTCTGACTCCTGCTCCCACTGCTGCCACAAGCGGGGGCCCCCTGAGATTTAAAGTCTTCTGCTCCCAGTTCTTGCACCCGAGGAACTGGCGGGACCCTTGTCAAATCTGAAAAACCCCACATTTTAACCACTCTCGGTGCAAAGTGGTATTTCCTTTCGTCCGTCCTCAACCTACTGCCCATCAGCTTCCTCGGATGCCCTTGCGTTCTAGCCTTTTGGGAGAGGGAGAAGACGTTCTCTGTGTCAACTCTCTCCACCCCGCACGTAATTTTATAAACCTCTCTCATGTTCCCCCCCACTTTCTCAACTGAAAAGTCCCAGACTCCTCGGCTTTTCCTCCTAGGGAAGGGGCTAAAGATGTGAAGGCCCGGAAAAAAGACGGAAAAATCTGGGGAAAAAACGTTTTTTCCCCATTTTTTCCTGAAGCCTTTTTTGTTTTTTTCCAAAAAATTGGAAAAATTGAAAAAAGAAAAGAAAGGAAAAAATTGATTATGGAACGTTTTATTTTAACATGATGAATAAAATATTTTAAGACAAGGTGTTCAAATATTTTCCAAATCATTTCTAATATATATATATATATATATA